CCCTGCCCGTCCTGGATTCGCTTATGTTGCTGGTAAAGCTAATAACAAATTTGTAATTTCAAAGTTTATATGAAAAAATGATGCATTTTTAGTAAATAATAGTGTGATTCAGCTGTCTAGCTAATTTTTTGTGCCTTCAAAGTCAAATTTAGCTCATTCTCGCACTGAATTCTTGACACATCCATCATGCTAAACCGACATCCGAGTAGGCGACAAAATGCCAGAATCGCCAACGAAACACTGTGAAGCAACGCTATGAGTACTGCTTTCGAACCGCGGCAAAATTAAAAGTTCAAACGCTGACAAAAGCATCTTGCAAGGGACTACAAATCTTTTCCCACAACATAGCGTAATTTTTTTAACCTAAGCACCATCAAAAGCATCAGTGATGGAAAGTTTTAATACGAAAGGATGGAAAAAAGAGAAAATAAAAACGAAAATGAAAGCGAGAAATGAAAATTAGAAAATTTTTAAGTCCATTATAACGGTAAGAACCGTTTCGACCCATTAAGTCGTATACATTTCTTACCATTACCACAATTGGACCTCGTCAGTACGACGATTGAGGTAAATGAAGTTAGTGAAAGTTAGAGTTAAACTGTGTAACGCATGTTAGTATTGAACAAAGTGTTATGGAAGATTAGTAGTAATAATAAAACTGCTTAACTGGTTAACATGGTGCAAAAGATACTCTACCTTATGGTATAATTCGGGCGCTACTCGCAAAAACAGGTCCATGTTGAGATCGTTGTGATGCGTGATAAACGGTTTCGCTGTTGCTCCACCAGCAATACGATTCATCATTGGAGTCTCGACCTCAACAAACATTCATATATTCCATAGTAATAAATTTGTTATATAACAAAAAACCCATTTAAGAAGCCTAGAAATTCAAAAAAACAATCTCTTTCGTACCTCCAAGAATCCCAAGTTGTCAAAATAGCGCCTGACAAAACTGATCATCCGCGATCGTACCACAAATTTGTTTTTAACATCCGGATTCACTATCAGATCAAGATAACGCATTCGATATCTGCAAGCATATAATATAAAATTGCCTGCCAAATCAGGCTCTTAATCTCAGTAAGTTAACTGATCTCCTTCAGGTAATCAACATGTTTCTTTGAGCATGACGAAATGGAGCACTGTATTGTTGGTAAACGTCTTAACTCTCTCGTACTTATTTCTCCTGTACCAGCAATATTTCTACATCTTGCATTTCATAGTTCGTTCTATTCTTACCTTCTTTTTTAAGTTCTTCATATTACCTTCATGTCACAATCATGCGAAAATCAGCTTACCACCCGATTTCGCACTGATTCTGCCGTCTGTGTTTACAGCTTAGGGATGAAACAAAGACAGGCTACCAAGTCACTGTACATACAGGCTTGCTTATTTGGGAGATCTAAATAGCACTTCCAGTGTTTTCATTAATTGTCAAAATTCGATTGTGTTCCTCTCCACTGTGGTGGGCTAGCAACGTCAAACAAACTGCATATGTGAACGCGCAGACGATTTCAGGCCCCCGTCCTCCTCCAATCTGTCCTAGCCAGGGATATTCATTGTTTATATCTCTAAAATTTTTACAACACTTACTCGTGCAAAAAAATTATGAATTGTAAAACCTGGGGCAGTAACCATCATTAAAGTTACCTGCCTTTCTATACTACTAAAAAAATCTCAAGATAAAATTTACAGTTCGAAATAAAAAAAAAAAAAAAAAAACTCTATGAAATTTCATTCAGTAAATTTCGACTTTTTTCTTCCAGAAATCACTGAATTACTGTCTTCCAAAAATTACCGTCTGTAAAAAACTGATAATCAAAAAAATGCTGAAAAAATACCACAAGCGAAAACATTTTGGTCCAAACAAGGCATACCTGGTTTCCTGGTTTTTCAGTCCAAAATGTGTATGTGGCAACATATGCAAACATGGCGTTAACTGGACAATCTAAATCAAAAAAATAATGGCGTAAATAAAAAACACTGAGAAATTTGATTTCTAATTTTCCTAATAAAAATTTTACAATTCGAACTTAAAAAACTTGCTTTGCAAGCCAATTTTTGTTGCACAAGTTTTATCGGCAAAATAAGCAAAAGTGCCCTTTCAAGAATTTCATTTTTCGCTGAGGCCACACTTGCAACGTTTTGCCAAAAATCACGAAAAATACAAAGCATTTTTTTCCAACTTTTTTGTATTTTCAAGCAGATTCGAAATATTTTTGAAGATGCTGTTGCGAAAAATATTCGAGTAGTATAAAACATGTAAAAAGGACAGTAGGAAGGCCACCGATGCGCTAGTCCGATTCGCTAACTCGATTATATGGAGTATTGTGGATGAGGCGAGTTCAGGATGGAACTCGGTGTCGCATGGTTGTCAGCTTAGCAGTCACTGGAGAAGATCAACAGCGCGTCAGCGAGGGAAACGCCGTATTAAATATCAAGTAAGGCAAAAATTTACCTCAACTGGTATGATGCTAAGTTCACCGGATTTTGACTTGGCCGGATAGCCCTTCACGCCCACTATATCGCCACGCTTGATCCGATCGTGCACCTCACTGAACGGTTCATCATCTTTGTGGAATCTGTAAATTTGCATGATAAATTCCCATTCCTACCCGCCCCAGCTAAAATTTTTGTGTTTACAGTTCAGGGATGAAATACAGACTGCTTACTTGCATCGTCGCTTACAAACACAGGCGAATCCGGGGCGCATTCCTCCTGAAGAGAACGGGTGAGGGTGGAGGAAAATGGATCTACTGGTGCAGCAACAAGCGGAGTGGGACCCCTCAGAGGAAGGGGAGGGGACGACGGGGAAGGGGGGAAGAAAAGGG